AGTTGAGGAGAGATTCTCACAAGGTTGACTTGAATGGTATTTCTGCGAGGGATTTCCATGTCCTACAAAACAAGAACAAAGATGAAGATCCAAAACCCTTGAAATGGTTAGTGAATGCATATGATGTTTTATGATGTTTATGATGTATGCACAAAACATATGTACAATCAACTCACACCAAACCCTAGTTTCAGGCTTGCATGGGGTTTCATAGGTAAGTACCCTCTTGAGTGTAGTTGGCTTAAAAACCTGTCCTATAAATAGTAACCGGGTTCTAAGGAGCTCAATATCACTGGATTGTTTTCAATGTTCATTGTTTTGGTTTAGCCACTTAACTAGCGACCAAAATATTCCAAGAAAACAACCCTCAATGAGTGTAGTATCGAGTATCTACCAACTTCGGACTGCACCAAAGCCGGTCATCTCACTACCCCTAATAAAAGGCCAAGATGGTCAAGTAAGGTTCTAGGTCATTAGTGCTTAGTGACATCACTCAGCGGCCCCGTACTCTCCTTGATTGAACTCAAGGGTTACCGGTACTCACAAATATGTCGCACTAATATAGCTATTGCTTAGACCGTGTCGGTATACCCCGCACAGTTTCCACAATGTATTGCTATCTATGAATGTTTCCCAAAATCCGGGTGGAGGATTGCAAACCCAAACAAATAGAGCCAAAGTATAAAGCAAACAATTCAAACAATTAGTCATGCAAGAGGGTGATCTAAGCCCTAAGGTTACTCCACTTTAAAAATTCTCCCCAGCAGAGTCGCCAGTTCTGTGGTACGGTGGGAGAACTGACTAGGGTTTTGCGTTTGTTTTTGCAAATGTTTCGGTTGAGCAAAAGTCGCCACCGACTTTTTATTTTATCCTAAGGAAAGGTTTAAAAAAGTACAGCAAAAACCTTTGAGATTTTTCTTGGATTCGGGGAGTAGATTATAGAAGGGGAAGGTATTAGCACCCCTTCTATCCATGGTTATCCATGGGCTCTTAGGTACTTGCTTAGATCAACTTGCCTTGGTTTTCAATTGTTTGAAATGGTGCTTGATGTGTGGTTTTGAAAATGTTTTGAAAAGATGCCTTGTATAGGCTACCCTTGTAATAATTCTTTACTCGAATGTTTTACAAAAGGTGTTTGTCTTTTTGAAAAGATGTTTCAAGGTTTTTTTGAAAGTTTGTTTTGAAAGTGTTTGTGAAGTGGGTTTTGAAATAAGGCAAGTGTTTTCTTGGAAAGTTGACAAGTACTTAAGAGTTTATCTACCCTAAAGTTTTCTCAAAGGTTTTTGTTATGTTTTAAACCTTTTGACAATTTTGTTCCACCATTGCATTTGGTGGACAATCTTGTTTTAGGAGATTAAAGGGACGGGCGCGGGTCATCGTTTAGACCATAATTGAAATAGTGTTAAATGTCTTTGGGCAATTTTCTTTAAAAGGGACTTGATCATTCATTTAAGCAACATTTTGTGGGACTATGATCATTTGATTGTTTGTTTTTACCCAAAGAAATTCAACATACAATAGGGCCTAATTATTTGAAGGCAACAAAGTGGAATACCCTAGGGGTGCAAGTGTGAAATGTGTTGTCCATTTTTCATGCTCATTTATCTTGTATTAGGTCCAACTATTTTGTTCATTTTTATTCGCATATAAAACCCTAATTCTAGCATAGTATGTTTAGAAAGCGATAAAGTGCGAAATTTAAATTCCTACGCTATTACATCACAATAATATAGGGAGGGGGGTACAATGTTCAAATGGGGAGATATTTTGACAAGAAATTGAATCTAAGCTATTACATCATTTGCTTTGAGTATTTACAATATAAATAAATGTATAATTTAAATGGTAAATAAAACAAATATGCAAGGATGCAAAATGAATTTTTATATGTATGAAAAAAAAGTATTATTTATATAAAATAAAAAAAGAAAATAAAAAGGGATTATTTTTGAGGTATTTTCAAATTTAGGGCAAACCCTAATTTTTTAATCAAAAGGGACATTAATTAATCAATTCATATAATATTTATTATTTACATACAAAAATAAAATAAAATATGGTATGTTTAAAAAAAGGGCCTTTTTTAGTATTAAATATTAAAAAAAGATAAAATATGCACATTTTTGATATTTTCTCCTAAGTATATTAATATACCTATATATTTATATTATTTACAAATAAATATCATATATATATAAATAATAATAATTAATATTTATATATTAAAAAAAACATGTTTTGTATAAAATATTTTCAAAAGGGAAAATGCAATAAAATCAGGAAAAAAACAAATATATTTGTATTATTTTTTTTCTATTTATCCAAAATACTATATATCTATATTTATGTATAAATAACTCCTATAAACAAATAAATGCTAAAAAAAATAGAAAAATGGTATAAAAATATATTTTTTTTATTTTTTTATATTATAAGCAAAAATAAATAAGCCAACATGAAAAAGAAAAATCAAAAAAATCATGAAAATCAAACAAATGGGCTCAGGGGGTGTGAATTTAGAAATGTGGTGTGAAAAGAAAATGCAACACAAGCCCAGCCCAGATCACTTCTTCTTCAACCTCTGAACAAAAAACGCGTGCCTGCAAGCTTCATTTGAATATCCTGATTCTTTGATTTTTTGAACAAACTTCCAACACAAAAGATGTTAAGCATGAAACCACGATTCCAAATATATAAAGAACATCTCCTAACTCTCAAAGATGAGAGAGAATTTTAACAATCCCAAATCCTAACCTAAGTTTTCTGCCATTTTCAAACCTTAAATTCTCTCAACTCAGGCAAAAGAAATGAAAAGTAAAAGAATGTACATGTTCAGTGGTATGAGTAGGACATTGTTTATTCACAAACTTAAAGCTAATGATGCCTAATAAGAGAGATACGAGTTCACCAAAATACCTGTTCAGCTGAAGTTCTATCCTGCAATGTAGGGACTTTCAGTGCAAGGTGATGATTGGAAAAGCATCCTTGAGGTCCAGGGATGTTATTCCAATGTTTACTTTGTCTTGAAAGCTTCTGAATCGAGCTAGAGAACTTCACCTGCAAGTCAGAAATGTGAAAATGGTGGAAGTGATTAGAGTGATTACAGGTTGTGCTTTTGCTTTTGGTTAGCTTGCATAGATGGTATGGAAGGTGTGTGAACTGATTTGGGCAAGAGAGCTCAAGAGAAATGAGAGATAGCACTCAAACTGCAGGGCCTACCCTGTTTTTGCAGTTTGAGAGTGATTCTGAGATGGAGGGTGTTTTGAAGGCTAAGGGCTCGTGTATTAGCTTGGTTGTGTTGTGTGAAAGGTGTTTGATAAGTTTGTTCTTGTGTATGTAAGCTGAGATGGATGTTGGTATGAGTTATGCAATGTTTCTTCACTCTTAAGCAAACAAAGGCAACTTGGTGTTTTAGGTCAGTAGGGGACCCCTAATCCTGCTGCAAAGCTTCTCTTGATCAGAGTAATTTGTTCATAATCTTGTGCCAATCAGATTTGCAATGTACTTGTTGGATTTGTAATTGGACATAAAGTGAACTTTTGCCAAAATGGATAGTTTGCTTTATCTATAAATGGATTAAACCTTCATGTAATGTTAGAACACAAAGAACATGGTCTTGGCACAAAGAATATGCATTAAATTTATGAGTGTAACTTGGTTTAAGGACCTGTAATCTAGCCTAAAGCATGCTGAGTTCAAATTGCAAGGTTATGGACATGTAACTTGGTCATGAACAAAGTGATTTTTTGCCATATTGTGAAATTCGATTCTCCCTAACCATGAGGTTGTTTGATGAGTTCTTGGACATTTTGGAAAGCTTGGAATGTGTACTACAATCCATATTTGAAATGTAATTTGAAATTCCAAGTGGAAGTGTATGGAAAATGGTCTTGAAGTTAGGTAGAAAACCTTGTCAAAATAGGTCAAATTTCACTAAGTTAAGAATGGTTTAGTGCCCTTATTCAAAAATTTGTAACTTGAGATGAAAGCTTCAAATGAGAAAACTTTGTGAATCAAAGTTGTAGATTATGCAACAAGCTACAACTTTAATGTTTGGACTTTTGTTTGAATCCAAATGGATCATGGTGAAAAAGTGGGGCAAAGTTGGGAAAAAATTAGGGTTTTCCATAACTTAGAAAAATTCTAAGTTATGAAAAATTCCATTTTAAACCCTAATTTGCATTTCTTGGTTTCTTGGTGAACAAGTTTCATGATTTGGCAAGTTTTGATGAAAAATGAATCTTGACTCTTGATTTTGACCAAAAAGTCAAAGTTTGACCTTTCAGTATACAGTCAAAATTGATCAATTGACTGGGAAATTCAACTGTCAATCTTGTGTACTTGGGATCTTTTGAGTTTGTTGAGCATGTCAAGATAATTCCATGGGGTCCTTGAGTCCATGTGTGAGCTTGGTTTGCCATTGGCTAGGTCAAACAGTCAAAAATTGCCTTTGTGCAGTCAAAACCCTAAAAATGACCATTTTGCCCTTTTGGTGATCTGATCAAATTTCTTGGGGAATTGTGATTCAAACTTGATCAAATGGTCCATATGAGTTCATAATGTTGATGTGGGTCAAATTTCATGAGGTTTGACTGTCAATTGGCCACAGTTGACTTTTCCCCAATACAGTTGATTTCTAGGTCAACTGTCCAATTGACTGGGCAAAACTTGGAATCAAGACTTGAAACTTGATATGGGTAAACTTGGGAGTCCAATATGAAGCATGAAAGTCATCTTAGGCATTTTAGGTCAAAACATCTTTGTGCAAACCCAAACCCTAATTTGAGTCAACAGTGCAAGGAGAGGTCTTGAGCAGATGAAACCCTAACTGGATCTTGAGCTTCAAGGGCTTTGTGGTGAGAAATCAATGAGAAATGGAAGGGCAAATTTTGGGGTACAACAGGTGGCATCACCGTAGAAGACGCGTCGGACGAATTCCGAAAGGTAAGCTTCAAATCCTTTCTTCTCTCATTTTCTGCGTGTGTTCCTTGTTGTCTTCTTCAAACCTCGAAATCGCACGAAAGCGGAAGCTGTGAATCGGTAATGAGATCGGAACCGCGATTGAGAAGACGAAAGTGACGAGGGGAACCGAGACATAACTGAACAAAGTTTGAGCGCTGATTAGAAGTTGAACAGAGATGAAGCGATATCGGAGAAGAGGCTGAGGCGAAGCTTTGCACGGCCGAAGCTGATGAAGAAGAACGAAATTGCGACCGAAGGAGGAAATCAGAGAGGCGAATCGCGAACGGAGATGATGATGAGCAACGACAAGAGGCGACAAAGCATCAACAGCAGAGACGACGAGTTAGGCTTACGGCGCCGCTGTGGAAGTTGACGGGAGAGAACCATGGCCGTTGGAGTGGTGAAGAAGAGTTTTGCGTTTCACGTTTGAGAGCTAATATACATCACTTACTTCTATTAACCCTAAACAAACAAAACGCAACCGTTCTGATTATTTGATGTTATTTTTTTTCTCTTTTGTTTTATTAATTAGTAATTTAAATAATAATAATAATAATATTAAGATTAATCCAATTATTAGGATTTCAACTTAATCAAAGTTATTTATTTTAATCTTATAAAAAAAAATCTAAAAATACAAAAGTAATTTTCTTTTTGTTTTATTAATTAAAAACATAAAAAAAATCTTCTTTTTATTTCACTGCCTTTAAGTAATTAATTTTCCTTCTTTCATTAGTCTATATTATTTAATAAAAAATACAAAAAATTGATTAGTTAACTTAATTATATTTTCTTAGATTAATTTATGTTAGCGTATTTTCTTATTTATTTAATATATAAAAAATATATAGAATATGTCTTTAGTTCTTTTAGATAAAACATAAATTTGTACTAAACTTTTTAGGGCTTACCGATTAATCATTATTCCATTATAAATAAGTCAATAAAGTATGTAATGATGAGTTTTCGATTATTTCTCCGCCATGTGTGGATGAAAGTTATTTTATATATTCATGGTTAAATCCAAGGGAAATGCTTTGTTAACTTCATAAGTAATACGATCGTGCGAATACCCTCATTCATTTTTTTACCATTTTACTAAACTTAAGTTAATTTTTCCTAAAAAACTCATTTTCAAACTCACACCTTTTAAATCAAAACTTCGACACTAGGTCGTCGTATCTTCAAAAATCTCGTCCATACCCATCTTTTAGCCAAACGAATCATTTTAATCAAACAAACAATTTTAAACCAAAAACAGATATTTCAAAAGGTTCCTGCGGAGTACCGCAGATGCATTGGATGCTAATACCTTCCCATTGTATAACTAACCCCCGAACTCTCAATCTCTTTTCAAAAACGCATTGTATTACTTTTTATTTTACATTGCATGTTTTTAGGGTTTTATTTCGCTCTTTTCCCTTTTCCCTTGGAAATAATAAAGCGCGGTGGCGACTCTTGCTTTTGCGAGTCAAGTTAATTAATAGCTTGATCTCCGATTTTCACCGCTACAACATCCTACACTCATTTTACACACGAACAATGAGGAAAAGAGGTATTCTCATATGCTGTACTCCTCTCTTAGCAAGGTGATTTATTTCTCACCTTCCACAATCAGTTTTGAAGAATGAGCAGGGTTTAAGGTGGTCACAACGGTTGATGACCCTCACACATTCTAATGTACATTGGTGTTCTCGGTCCAGAGAAAATGTCATCATCATTGATTGTTATGGGGAATTCCCTAATGTCCCTCTACTTGGCATTAGGGGAGGCATTACCTACAACCCTTGTTTAGCTCTAAGACATTTTGGATATGCTCGGAGGGATGGCCCTTATGACATGCTGATTCCTGACTTGGTTTTTTACTTCGACAACGATGCACAAGGACTTCGACAAAGGTTCATCAGAGCTTGGAGGATGCCCAACAAAGTGGATAGTAAGACACTGGGGCAAAAGAATTCCATCCCCCTTGAGCCTTATCTCAAGTGGGTACGAACCCGTGCCCAGAATCTTATGATGCCATATCCTCACATTCTCTTCCTGATCAAAGAGCCTGTTATGGAAGGAGAGGTTCCATACACCCTCCTACATCCTGACATGCCAACATCATGGGAAGAAATGCAAAAGAGTTGGATCCAACTCAAGGAAGAACGAAATACTTTTGAAGCCAGTTTCTATGCCAGTGAGAAGAAGGTTTTAGAGCTTACCCGCCGACTTCATGAGGAGGAAACTCTCAACACTTACATCGCATCAAAGAGGATGCGCAATGTCTTTTTACATTAAGAATTTTGTAATGTTTTGTCCATGTGACACTTATGTACTAACAAATTTCTTCTTAATATGACGTGTGTTCCTTTTTGTTTGCAACAAATTTGAATTTCTGAATCCTTGAATACATTACATGAATAACATACCATTCATCATATGCATAAACAGGTCGTCACACCAGGTTTCCTTATCTTTCTACTGTTTATTTCAGCAAGATGGATTTGGAGCAGACGGTTAAGGATCTGCAAGCACAAAATTCTCAATTCTAGAAACTCCTCATGACCTTAGTAAAGGGCCAAGAGGACCTCAAAGCACTGTTGGAGAAAAATAAAGAGAAAAAGAAGAAAAGACCCGGAGTAGCCACTTTTGGAAGAAGGTTTGAAAGCAATGCTAGAAAAGTTCTCGAGTTCCCCACAACGTCTGATGAAGGGGCTGGTAAAGGAAAAGGAGCTGCGGGACCTTCTGAATCTGAAGTTGAAGAGGAAGAAGAGGAAGAAGACGAAGACTACTCCGAACAACAATATCCCCCGGCGGATGATAAATATAAGAATCTGGAGGATAGATTGGCAGCCATGGAGTTGCAAAAGGTACCTGGTTTAGATTTTGAAGAACTAGGGTTGGTCGCTGGGATCGTCATTCCTCCCAAGTTCAAAGTACCAACATTTTCTAAGTATGACAGTATGTCCTGTCCAAAGATGCATCTGAGATCCTATGTCAGAAAGATCCAACCCCACTCATCTGATAAAGACCTCTAGGTACACTTTTTCCAAGACAGTTTGTTAGGCACACAATTGGACTGGTTCTATCAACTTGAGAGGTCTGAGGTTCATAACTGGGAAGACTTAGCTGCTGCTTTTTACCATCAATACCAATACAATGCTGATTTGGCGCCCACTCGTACTCAACTACAGAGTATGGATATGGCTTTCAATGAAGGATTTAAAGAGTATGCCCAGAAGTGGCGTGATCTGGCTAGAAGGGTGCAGCCACCATTGTCAGATAGAGAGCTGATTGACATGTTTCTGGGGACCCTGTCTGGCCCTTTCTTCAATCATTTAATTGGGAGTTCCTCCACGGGATTTACCGAACTAATTTTGACCGGCGAAAGGGTCGAGGCCGGTATTAAAAGTGGTAATATTCAGAAAGATACCTATGCGTCCACTGTTGTTAAGAAAACCTTCCCAGCTAAGAAGGAAGCCTCTGTTGTTTATTCTCAGAAAAGTCAAGGAAGAACCGAGCGTCGGCCAACTGTAGGGGCTGTGATGATTCAAAACTCTTCAAATGATCAACCTCGCGGCAATCAGCCAAGACCTAATCAACAACGGGTAGAAAGGCCACAACGGCAGTTCACCCGAATCAACATGAAGCCAGCTCAAGTACTCCCTCATTTGTTAAAGCTGAATCTTACCAGTTTAAAGGAAGCGCCAAAGAAACCTAATACCTCCTCTCCATACTACCACTCCAATGCCAAGTGTGCTTACCACTCTGACAGTGCAGGGCACGATACCAATAATTGTTGGGCACTTAAGAACAAAATCCAAGACCTGATTGACGCTAAGGAAGTAGAATTTGATGCTCCTGAGAAGCCCAACGTAATATCTGCTCTGATGCCCAAGCACGGTCATAATGTTCATGCCGTTATGGAAGACCTTCATGTTACCGATGTTGCTGACCTTTTGACTCCATTACTAGTGATTAAAGAGAATTTGATGAGAGCCGGGATATTCCCAGGCTGCGGAAAAGACTAATACTTTTGTTTAAACATACGAGCTGACTGCCCAATGTTGAAATCAAGTGTCCAACGCCTGATGGATACCCAAGAGATACTCTTCCAAAAGACCCCTGTTGATACCTTCACTCTTGCTACTTTTGCTACTTCAACCAACGACATTGCAATAATAACCATATCCGACAATATTCCCAAGGCTTGCAAAAGGCCTGTCAAGATTACACTAGATCCTGAATTTGTACCTTTAAAAATCACCATGTCGGGGCCTGTCCCGTATCAATCTAACAAAACGATACCATGGAACTACAGAGGAGAAATCTTCTATCATGGTATCAAGCAGATTGAATCACTCCAAGAGAATTATGAAGAGGGAAGCCCTGGTATAGGGAACATTGCGGGAACAAGCAAGATAACCCGCAGCGGCCGGATTTTTTCTCCGGAGATTGCTCCCCCCCGAGCAGTTTTCGGACCCTCGAAAGCTTCTGTACCTGTTAGGTCATATGTGCAAGACCCGATAATTAAAGAATTGGATACCCCTGAAGTAAGACCATCCGTTGATACTACTGATAAGGGTAAGGGGATACTATAAGTGCCTGTCAGGACGAAGGCTCATACCGTGGTTATCCCCGAAACCACCCAGAAAGAAATGGAGGAAATCTTGAAAATAATCAAAAGGAGCGATTTCAACGTCGTGGAACAGCTAGGGCAGACCCCTTCTAAAATATCCATGTTGGCTCTTCTACTCTGCTCTGAGGCCCATGCTAAGGCTTTAATCAAATTTCTAAAGACGGCACACGTGCCCCAAGAAACTTCGGTCGACCAGTTTCAGGAGTGTGTGGCCAGTCTTACTGCTGATAATGGTCTTGGCTTTTCCGATGCTGATTTGACTCCCAAGGGAAGGAAACACAACGACGCGCTACATGTCTCAGTTGAATGCAGGGGAACCACCCTCGCCCATGTCTTAGTTGATACTGGTTCTTCCTTGAATGTGCTGCCGAAGAAAGCGTTAGACCGTTTGGACTGCGAAGGATTGACCCTCAAACCTAGTAACATCGTTGTTAGGGCTTTTGATGGGTCCAAAAGGATGGTTCACGGAGAGGTTGATATTCCTATCAAAGTAGGCACAAAAGTTTTCAACTCCACCTTTTATGTGATGGACATCCGTCCTTCATATTCGTGTTTGTTAGGAAGACCGTGGATCCATTATGCTGGAGCGGTTACCTTCTCTTTGCACCAAATGCTGAAATATCCTGTTAAGGGTAAGATTATAACAGTGCACGGCGAGGAAGAGTACATGATAAGTCACATCAACTCCTTCCATTATGTAGAGTTGGATGGCGAGTTCATTGAAATGCCTTTCCAACATTTTGAGGTGCTTATCATTCCCAAG